GATACAACTCTGACACCTGTGAACTGGAACATTCATGTGGCATGGGAGTTGTGTTTCCCTGCTCCCCAGAGCTGGAGAGTTTCTGATATATGTCAAGCATACCTGTTCTCAGCACTTCATCCCAATCTCAGCAGTGTGTTTTTGGTGCCTGCTCCAAACATGCCTATTGTAAGCTCACCTCCCAGAGGGGAAGGGCGTCCCCAGATTCTGGCTCATATGTGGGGAATGGGCTTGGAAGCTACTAGAAAAGCATACCCCCTTGGAACCTGGCTCACATGGGGGGGGGGGGGGGGCAGGGCCCACCCAGAACCTGGCACACACAGTGGGGCAGGGAACAGGGCTGAGACATTCCCAGGGACCAGGAACCTCAGATCTCAGCTCAGATAGGGGGAGGAAGAGGGGCTCAGACCCTCGGCCCGATAGGTGAGCCCCTTCTAGAACCTGGCTCACATAAATGGGCAGGAAAGGGGGAGGGGGAGTCACACCACACCTGTAGAGGGCCTGGGGGCTCCCAGATTGTGGTACACACCTGAAACGGGACTGAAGGGTTAACAGGCACCTCACTCACCCCCCATCTCAATGTTCTACCACTCCCCTCCCTCTCCTCATCACCTGATCCCCCAATCCCTCTTCTCGTCCTATTCCCACATACTCTTCCATTGTTAGTCACCCTCCCCTCCCTCAGCAAGCATTTGCTCGTTGTAGTTGATTTTCCTTTAAAAAAATAGCTTCAGTGTTTTTGAATATTCTGCTGTACTCAGATTACATTTCCCCAAAACAAAATCCATCCTTTGACAAAGAAAGTTTGGAGCAATATGTCTGGGGCTTTTTCAATTTCAAATTTCTGCCCTGAGTTGAATTTGAACTCTCTCTTTGACACGATGCTCAGATTCAGTGACATCATCATACCCTTGGAGCCACCTAAATCCTATGATGTGAGGGGAAATAAACAGGAAGAACTAGAAATATTAAGTGAATAATCAGTTACAACATAATTGGCATCAGATATTTGGTGGGATAATTCACATAACTGGAACACTGGTATAGAAGGGTACAGCTTCTTCAGTAAATAGAAGCAGAAGAAAAAAAAAGGAGGTGATGTTGCTTTGTATATCAAAAATGTATACACTTGCACTGAGGTCAAGACAGAAGCGCGAGGCAAACCTGTTGAAAGTCTCTGGGTAAGGCTAAAAGGGGTAAAAAACAAGGGTGATGTCCTGGTAGGAGTCCACTGTAGACCACCTAACCAGGAAGAAGAGGTGGACAAGGCCTTTTTTAAACAACTAACAAAATCATCCAAAGCAGAGGACTTGATGATGATGAGCGACTTCAACTACTCAGACACCTACTCAGAAAATTACACAGCAGGGCACAGATTATCCAACATGTTTTTGGAATGCATTGGAGATAACTTTTTATTACAGTAGGTGGAGAAAGTGTCCGAGGGAGAGGCTATCATAGATCTGATCCTGACAAACAAGGAGTAACTGATTTGAGGACGGAAGGCAGCTTCGGTGAAAGTGATCAAGAAATGATGAGTTCATAATTCTAAGAAATGGTACGAGGGAAAACAGCAGACTAAAGACAACAGACTTCAAGAAAGCAGACTTTAGCAAGTCTAATGGGAAAAACACAGTTCAGGAGAATGAGCAGCGTTTTTTTTTTCTAAAACAGAGACATTATTAAGGGCACAAAAGCAAACTATTTCAGCATGTAGGAAAGATAAAGTATAGTAAGAGACAACCTTGGCTTAAACCAGGAGATCTTCAATGACCTGAAACTCAAAAGAGTCACACAAAAACTGGAAATTAGGTCGAATTATTAAGGATGAATATAAAAAAACAACTAAGCATGTAGGCACAAAATTAGAAAGGCCAGAATGAGATTAAGTTCGCTAGGGAAAAAGGATAACAAGAAAATATTTTACAAATACATTAGAAGCAAGAGGAAGGCCAAGGACACAGTAGGCCCATTACTCTATGAGGAGGGAAAGGCAGTAACAGAAAACACAGCAATGGCCAAAAAAAAAAAAAAAAAAAAAGCCTTTTTTGTTTCAGTTTTCAACAAAAAAGTTGGCAGCGATTGGACAACTACAATAATGAACATCAATGAAAACTGGGTAGGATCGGAGCTTAAAATAGAGAAAGAACAAGTAAAGAATTACTTCAACAAGTTAGAGGTCTTCAAGTTGGCAGGGCCTGACGAAATACATCCTAGAATACTTAAGGAACTGGCTGGAGAGAGAGCTCTCTAAGCTCCTAGTGATTATCTTTGAGAACTGGTGGAGGACAAGAGAGATTCCAGACTACTGAAAAAGGGCAAATATAGTACCTAACTATAAAAGGGAAATAAGGACAACCCATGTAACTACAGACCAATCAGTTTAACTTCGGTACCCAGAAAGATAATGAAGAAAACAATCAAGCAATCAATTTGTAAGCACCTACAAGATAATAAGATGAGAAGAAATAGTAAACATGGATTTGTCAAGAACAAATCATGTCAAACCAACCTAACATCCTTCTTTGACAGGGTAACAAGCCTTGTGGATGTGGGGGGGAAGCAGTATATGGGATATATCTCTTCTTTAGTAAGGCTTCTGATACAGTCTCACATGATCTTCTCATAAGCAAACTAGGGAAATACAGCCTAGACAAAACTACCATAAGGTGGGTGCACAGCTGGATGGAAAAGTGTACTCAGAGTAGTTATCAGTAGTTCTCAATCAATCTGGAAGGCATATTGAATGTTACCCCACAGGGATTATAATAAATTATTTGAATACCACCATAAAGAGTACACTTATAAGTCTGCCAATGATACCAACTTGGGAGGGGTTGGACGACAGGATTAGAATTCAAAATGATCTCAACAAACTGGAGAAATGGTCTGAAATAAATAGGATCAAATTCAGTAAGGACAAATGCCAGGTACTACACTTAGGAAGGAATAATTAACTGCACAAATACAAAATGGGAAATGACTACCTGTGAAGGAGTGCTGCAGAAAAGGACCTGGGGTTTATTGTGGATCACGAACTAAATGAGTCAGCAATGGAATACTGTTCCTACAAAAGTAAACATTCTGGGTTGTATTAGGAGGAATCTTGGAAGCAAGATACAAGAAGCAATTATTTTACTCTATTCAGCACTGTTAAGGCCTCAGCTGAAGTATTGCATCCAGTTCTGGGCACCACACTTCGGGAAAGATGTGTACAAACTGGAGAAAGCCGAGAGCAACAAAAATTATTAAAGGTTTAGAAAATGAGACCTATGAGGAAAAACTGAGGGGAAAAAAAAAGATTTGTTTAGTCTGGAGAAGAGAAGACTGAGTAGCAACATAACAGTCTTCAAGTAGGTCATAGGTTGCTATAAAGATGACAGTAATAAATAGTTCTCCTTATACGCTGAGCACAGGAGGAGAGGTATTGGGCTCAAATTGCAGCAAGAGAGATTTAGGTTAGACATTACAAAAAACTTCTTAACAGTAAGGGTAGTTAAACACTGGAACAAAATTCCTTATGGAGGTTCCACAATCTTCCTAATTGGAGGTTTTTAAGAACAGGTTAGACAAACATTGGCAGGGATGGTTAGATCAGGGCAACTTACGACCCACGCCGCTTCCTGCAGCTCTCATTGGTCAGGAACGGTGACCCATGGCCACTGGGAGCTGCAAGCGGCCATGCAAATGTAAACAAATGGTCTGGCAGCCCACCAGCAGATTACCCTGATAGGCCACAGGTTGCCCATCACTGGTCTAGATCAGTGGTCCCCAACCTTTCTGTGGGAATAGCATATTCCTATTCCCAGATGACTGTGGCATGCAGCAGCAGCGAGAAGCGTCACCACCTAAATGACTCCGAGAAATGGCAACGCTTCTCGGCGGCATTTCGGTGGGCGGTTCTTCAGCAGCCACATTTCGGCAGCGGGGTGCTGCATTGGGGACCTCTGGTCTAGATAATTCTTAGTCCTGCCTCAGTGCAAGGGACTGGACTAGATGACCTATTGAAATTCCTTCCAGTCATACATTTCTGTGATTCTATCTAGAGGTAGTTTTCCAGATATCCTCTCTCTCTGTACATGTTCAGCATAAACCATTAGGCATGTGAGCCTTGGCAAGCCTAACTGGAGAAGCAAACTTTTTCAAGTAACATTTTAATTTGATTTCCCCCATAAGGGTGGTAGGTGCCATGCATTCTGTTGGGGTAACCTTTGAGCATTTGAGTACCTGGTGCAATGATCTGAGCCCTGGTTCAATCCTTATTTGTGAGTAAAAAACATTTTCAATTTTTAGAATGTGCCAATTTTTAAAACAAGCTGTTTTTCCCCGTGGTACTATCTCTCTGGAACCCATTGGTCAGGTGACCCCAAATTTCAGTCACTGACTGTACCCCGCACCTCTACGAAGCACAACAAATTTCAAGGCAATCTCATTAACTATGGCTTTTAGAACCCCTAGAATAAACAGACTTTAAACAGAAAGCTGATCTTAACATTAACTATATAGCAGAGCTGTCACTCTGCTATAACACTATTGAATTTTATTTTTTTAAACTATTTACGAGGAGAAGCTGAAAAAGTTGGCACAAACTGTGAAGCTCCATCCACAATCACCAATGGAAGAAAGAAATAAGACAGTGGCAGTCCGGCAGCTCCTTGATCTTCTTGAGTGAGGAGCAGGAGAGTGAGGGCACGCATGATGACCAGACACTGCTAGAGAAAAATCTTCAGATCTGGGTGCATGTGCATCCTGAAGTGCAGTACACATAAGGACAATCACTTGAAAAAGGGAAAAAATTCAGTCTTGTTCTTACCACTTACATCCTACAACAACATACAAATTTAAGAGTAAGTTAAATATCTACACTGTTGGCTAATCAGAAGTTAGCAAACTAAACATTTTATAGATGGGTCAAGTCAGAGTTGTAGTTCAACCAGTTTTTCCTCAAGTCCTATTTCAAAGAGAAAAACAGCAGAAAGATCTTACTTTGAGTAACTAACCTGTCACATATGGTTCCAGAGCTTTAGGAACCAAACTCCTTGCAATTTTTAGGTCCTCTGCTGAACAGCTTCCAGATTCAAGCCCACAAGCCATTCCCATTCGCTTTAGTACTTCTATATCATCATGAATTTCAAAAGTATTGTCAAAATTAAACAGATATTCAAACCTGGAGGCGAGAAATTCAATCAGCTTGAATTACTTGCACTAATTTTTCCAAAACATTTCCAACAGATTTCAGAGTAGCAGCCGTGTTAGTCTGTATTCGCAAAAAGAAAAGGAGTACTAGCGGCACCTTAGAGACTAACCAATTTATCTGAGCATAAGCTTTCGTGAGCTACAGCTCACTTCATCGGATGCATTCTGATGAAGTGAGCTGTAGCTCATGAAAGCTTATGCTCAAATAAATTGGTTGGTCTCTAAGGTGCCGCTAGTACTCCTTTTCTTATTTCCAACAGAGTGGCACTTCAAGAAAATGAAAGCATGGCATTACAACATATGTAGCCTTAATATTTTGTTCTAGTGAGCAATTCCAATGTCTCAAAATTCATACCTTAACTATATAAGACAAATCATGAAAACGTTGCATGTCACCCAAACCATTAACAGGAGATTTAGCTGCAGACCCATAAGAACACAAGAATGACCATACTGGGTCAGACCAATGGTCCATTTAGCTCAGGATCCCATCTTCCAACAGTGGCCAATGCAAGGTGCGTCAAAGGTAATAAACAGAAGAGGGCAATCATCGAGTGATCCATCCCCTCTCATCCACTCCCAGCATCTGAAAATGAGAGGTTTATGGACACCCAGAGCATGGGGTTGCACCCCTGATCATCTTGGCTAATATCCATTGAGGGACCTATGATTAAGGCTGTGAGTTTGTTACGGACATAACTTTCTGGGACCTCCGGAACTTTTGCACTGGCCACTGCTGGGGCAGTCTCAGGCTACCGCATCATAGAATCATGGAATATCAGGGTTGGAAGGGACCTCAGGAGGTCATCAAGTCCAACCCCCTGCTCAAAGCAGGACCGATCCCCAATTAAATCCCCCACCCACAGCAGCAGGAGTTTGGGTGGGAGAGGGTAAGGGCTCTGGGTGGCGCTTACCTTGGGGGTGCTCCCCAGAATTGGCGACATCCCAGCTCCTAGGTGGAGGAGCGGTCAGGGAGCTCAGAGTGCTGCCCCTACCTGCAAGCACTGCCCCCGCAGCTCCCATTGGCCGTGGTTCCCGACCAACAGAAGCTGCGAAGGCGGTGCTTGGGGTGGAGGCTGTGCACAGAGCTGCATGGTCATGCCTCCGCCTAGGAGCTGAGGGATGTCGCCAATTCAGGAGAGGTGTGGAGCCAAGTAGGGAGCCTGGCATTCCCGGGCTTGTCTCTCCCCCCTTCATCCCCAGCACCTGCAGTGCCCCCCCCCAGTCCTCCCCCCAGAGCACCTGCACTACTCTCCCAGACCATGAACTTTTGTTTATTGCCCACAACCTGCCCATGACTTTTATTAAAAATACCCATGCCGAAAAACGTAGCCTTACCTATCTTCCATGAAGTTATCAATTCTTTTTTGAATCCAGTTATAGTTTTGGCTTTCAAAACATCTCCTGGCAACAAGTTCCACAGGTTGACTGTGTTATTTGAAGAAGTACTTCCATTTGTTTGTTTTACACCTCCTGCCTATTTATCGGGGACTCTGGTGTTTGCGTTATGTGAAGAGGCAAATAAGAGTTCCCTATTCACTTTCTCCATACCATTCATGATTTTATGGACCTCTATCATCTCCCTTCATTAGTCTCTTTTCCAAGCCAAATAGTCCCAGTCTTTTTAATCTCTCTTCATATGGAAGCTGTTCCATAACCCTAATAATTTTTGTTGCCCTTCTCTGTACATTTTCAGTTTCTAATATATCTTATTTGAGATGAGGGGAACCAGATCTGAACACAGTATTCTAGATGTGGGCATAGCACAGATTTTAAGAGGGGAGTTATGATATTTACTGTCTCTTATTTTCTCTCTTTCCTAATGGTTCCTAAAATTGTTCGCTTTTTTGACTGCCACTGCAGACTGAGCTGATGTTTTCAGAGAACCACCCATAATGACTCCAAGATCTCTTTCTTGTTTGGTAACAATTAATTTAGACCCCATCGTTTTGTAGGTACAGTTGGGATTGTGCTTTCCACTATGAATTACTTTGTATTTATCAACACTGAATTCCATGTGCTACTTTGTTGACCAGTCACTGTTTTGTGAGATCCCTTTGTAACTCCTTGCAGCCTGGTTTGGACTTAGTGATCTTGAGTAATTTTTTATCATCTGCAAACTCTGCCACTGCAGCGTTTACCCTTTTTCCCAGATCATTTATGAATATGTTGAACAGCACTAGTCCCAGTATAGCTCCTTGGAGGACTCTCCTATTTACAGCTCTTTTCTGTGAAAACTGACTATTTATTCCTACCCTTTGTCTCCTGTCTTTTAACCAGTTACTGATCCACAAGATGACCATCCCTCTTATCCTATGACTGCTAAGTTTCCTTAAGAGCCTTTGGTGAGGGACCTTGTCACAGGCTTTCTGAAAGTGTAAGTACACTATTCCCACTGGATCACTCTTGTCCACATGTTTGTTAACCTCTTCCAAGAATCTAACATTTTTTGGTGAGGCATGATTTCCCTTTATAAAAGCAGTGTTGACTCTCCCCCTGCAAATTGTGTTCCTCTGTGTGTCTGATCATTATGTTCTTTACCATCGTTTCAACCAATTTGCCTGGTACTGAAGTTAGGCTTACTGGCCCACAAATGCCAAGATCACCTCTGGAGCCTTTTTTAAAAATTGGTATCACATTAGCTATCCTCCAGTTATCTGGTACAGAAACTGATTTTAATGATAAGTTACATACCACAGGTAGTAGTTCTGCAATTTCATATTTGAGTTCCTTCAGAACTCTTGGGTGAATACCATCTGATCCTGGTGACTTATTACTCTTTAATGTATCAATTTGTTCCAAAACCTCCTCTACTGACACCTCAATCTGGGACAGTTCCTCAGATTTGTCACCTAAAAAGAATGGCTCAGGTGTGGGAATCTCCATCACATCCTCTGCAGTGAAGACTGATGCAAAGAATTCACTTAGCTTCTCCGCAACGACCTTATCTTCCATGAGTGTTCCGTTAGCACCTTGATAGTCCAGTGGCCCCAACTGATTGTTTAGCAGGCTTCCTGCTTTTGATGAGATACTTAAAAAATTTATGAACAACCTACTTGTCATTTGAAATACTACAATCGATCACGGTCTTCTTGCTGGTGTTCACAATGATAAATGGCAGATGTATGACAGAATTGGACGGCGGTGGTCGGTTTGCCTGTTGTTCTGTTTGACGATTTCGTTGAACTAGATTCTTGAAGGCAATTTGCTGCAAAAAGTAATAGTGGCTTACAAAACTACACATTTAACAGTTATTCCTTCTTTGTTCTCTTATTAAAATGTAATTATTTGTGGTGTCTCTGAAGAAACTAAAGCAGAATTAGGAATCTCAGTATTTAAAAGAAATATGCTTGACACTGTCAACTTTTTCCAAACTTGTAAATAACTAAAATATGACATTTGGAATTAACCAGTTTAGTTTAATGAAAATATTTTGAAACTAAAGAAGCAGACATTTATCATTTAAATGCTCCACCACTTCTTTAATGTTACTAAACACAAGTCAAGGATACCATAACCCAGCAGATCTCAAACTGTAGGTCAGGACCCCAAAGTGAGTTGTGGCCCCATTCTAATGGGGTCGCCAGGGCTGGCATTAATTTGTTGGGGCCCAGGGCCAAAGCTCCAACCCCAAGGGCTTCAGCCCCCCTGACAGAGCTCAGGTTTTGGCTTCGGTCCCCCTGCCTAGGGTGATGGGGCTTTGGTGGGCTCAGGCTTCAGTCTCCCCTTCTGGGGTCATGCAGTCATTTTTGTTGTCAGAAGGAGGTCGCAGTACAATGAATTTGAGAAACCCTACCATAACCCAACACTAGGGTTGGCTGAAAAGCTTCCATTAGAAAATTGGATTTTCAACTAAACTAAATTTTCCACAGAAAGCTTCTATTTTCCATGGAAAATAAGCCATTTTCCAAACAGCCCATACCAGCACCCAGTCACACCAGCATTTGTAGCAATACAGTCAGTTTTCTTTCTGAACCTTTAGCCTAAAGTTATGTCTACACTACAAACCAGAACCATTGCTGATCGCGCCTAACAATATTTGCAACTATAAGTACACACAAGACAGTGTTCAGAATGCCCTCAGATTTCAATTTGTAAAGGTGTCACAGAATTATGCACTGAAAAATGCATAAAAGTTTGGGGAAAACTGGAAGTTTTAACCACTTTTGAGGGGCAGTTGTAGCTTCTGACAACAGAGGAGGAGTGGTGGTAAAGCTTCTTTAAGAAAAATTAGTTTGAACTCCCAATTCCTGACATACCAGACTCCATTCTAACTCCTCTTTCCTGCCACCTACAATAGTAAACAAAAGTAGTAGTTGTTCACCTTGTGAAGTAACGATGGTTCTTTGAGATGCATGTCCCTATGGCTGCTCCACTGTAGGTGTGCTTGTGCCCCGCACTGCTGATTGGAGAACTTCAGTAGCAGTGTCCATTAGGCCTGCACATGCGCTGTCTCTCCTTGTGCTGTGCCATGAGGTTAGTCAGTGCACATGGGTTAAGCCCCCTCAGTTCCTTCTCTACTGCAGAGTCATTGACAAGAACTCTGCAAAGTAGAGGGGAGGAGGGTGGGTTGCAGCGCACCCATAGGAACACACATCTCAAAGAGCCCCCTGTTACTGCACAAGGTGAATAACTACTTCAAGTAGTGTCCCCATGGGTGCTCCACTGTAGGTGATTCCTGAACAGTATCCCTTCTGGAGGGCTGGGACTTCAAAGTGGGGTAAGTTACAGAAGACAGCACTGTGGAGCCAAAGATGGCATTGGAGGTGTAGTCCCAGTGATCACACAATGTTCTGTGAAAATGTTGACTGATTCCCATGTCGCCACTCTACAGATCTCTGAGCTAGGGAGATTCTTGAATAAGGTGACGGATGAGGACCTTGTTGAGTATGTATAAATATTAGCTGGAGAGGTCATAATGCAAACTTGCTAACAGTGTCTGATGCAGTTGGAGACTCGCTTGGAGAGTCTTTGGGCTGATATTGCTGAGCCCTTGGATCTTTCTGCAATGGAAAGGAAAAACCTGTGGGACTTCCTGACCATCTTTGTCCTGTGCAGGTAAAAGGCTAGGGCTCTCCTGACATCTAGAGTGTGTAATATAGCCTCCATGTTGTCTCTGTGAGGCTTGAAATAGAAAGTTGGAATATTAATCAATTGATTCACGTGAAACAGGGAGGTTTCTTTAGGAATGAATTTCGGATGTGGCCTGAGCATAACCTTATCCCAAAAGAATACCATGCGCCATCAGAGCTGTTATTTCTTCTAGTTAAGGTAATAGCTATCAGGAAGGCCATTTTCATTGAGAGGTACATAAGCAAACAGGTGGTCATGGGTTCAAAGAGAGGCCTAGTCAGTACTTTTGGTACCAGGTTTCGGTCCCATGTAGGAGTAGGAAGTCAAAGTTGTGGGAAGAGGTTTATTATACCCGTGAGGTACCTTTCAGTAGTTGGGTGTGATAGCACAGAGTATCCCTCTATTGCTGATGGAAGGGGGGTATACCTGCTAGGTGGCCTCAGAGAGCTTAGAGATCACCCTGATTTTTTAGGGCCAGCGCACAGTCTAAGATATGTGGAAGAGTTGAGGATGTCAGGGAGATTTGTTGGGAAGTACACCAAATCCAAAACTGGATCGTTTTTGCAGGTAGGAACGTTGTGTTGAGGACTTTCTGTGTAATACTACTCTTACATCTCCTTCGAACAGAAGCTTTCTAGGTGTTTGAACCAAGGAGCCATACCTTGAGGTGAAGGACCCCCGAGTTGGGATGTAGGGTACGTCCTCTGTCCTGGGAGAGGAGGTACGGAATGACTGGGAGAGAGATCGGTAGGCATGTCATGAGCTGTGACATGTAAAGGTACCAGGTTTGTCTTGGCCGAGGAGGAGTGATCAGAATGACATATGCTCATTCTCTTTATTTTCAGCAGGACCTTCAATAGCAGGTGAAAAGGAGGAGAGGCACAAAGAAGCCCCTGTTTCAGGGGAGGACAAGAGCATTGCCCGAGAAGTGTTGTCCTATCCCCACTCTGGAGCTGTAGCATGGACATTTTCTTATTCAGGTAAGTGGTGAACAAGTCTGTGGTTGGCATTCCCCCCTGCCTGAATACATCGTGAAGTATTACTAGGTCTAGCGCCCATTCGTGGTTGTGTGGGAATTTGCAACTGAGGGTATGTCTTCACTACCCGCCGGATTGGTGGGCAGCGATCAATCTAGCAGGGATCGATTTATCGTGCCTAGTCTAGATGTGATAAACCAAGTCCCGAGCACTCTCCCGTCAACTCCTGTACTCCAGCGCCACGAGAGGCACAGGCGGAGCCGATGGGGGAGCGGCAGCAGTCGACTCACCACGGAGAATACACCACGGTAAGTCGATCTAAGTATGTTGACTTCAGCTATGTTATTCACGTAGCTGAAGTTGCGTAACTTAGATCGATCCCCCCGCCCCAGTGTAGACAAGGGCTGAGACTGACTGAGTTGTGTGTGCCCAGGAAATAGGCTGCAGACAGTGTGATGTTGTGGGAGATACACCAGTTCCAGTCTTAACACTTCTGTACAAAGAGAGGGTGACCTGACTCCCCCTTGTTGATTTATGTAATACAGGCAGGCTATGTTGTCTGTTAGAATTCTCATGTGTGATCCTTTGATCAATGACAGGAAGTGCATGCAGGCATTCTGGACCACCCTGAGATTGAGGACACTGATGTGAAGGGACATCTCCGTGGGTGACCACTTGCCTTGCGTGGTAAGGTCATTTAGATGTGTACCCCACCCTATGAGCCATGTGTCGGTGGTGATAAGCAATAGCAGATGATGCTGCAAGAAGGAAATCCCTCTGCAAACGTTGGTTGGGTCTTTCCAGTGGACTAAGAAGTTTTTGATCCTGGAGAGTGGTGATAGGGGTTTCTCTAACCTGGGCCGGTTTGGTCTGCAAACTGAGCTGAACCACAGCTGAAGGCATCACATGTGAAGCTTGGCATGTGGTATTACCGCTGTGCTCACTGCCACATGCCCCAAAAGTTGGAGGCAGTGTCTGGCTGATATTAGCGGGCTGCTTTGTATGGTCTCTATGAGTGCAACCAGGGAGAGAAATCTATGATGATGATGATGATGAAGAACTGTGGCCCATAGCGAGTCAAAGTCTGCGCTTATAAATTCCAGGTGCTGTACTAGAATGCAGGTTGACTTCTGGGCATTGATCTGTAGGCCCAATTCTATAAACAGGCATATTGTAGTTTTGGTGACTCGGTGAGCCTCTAGGAGAGATGGGGCTTTGAGGAAGCAATCATCCAGATAAGGCTAAACTATGATCCCTTGGGAGTGTAAGTGCATGGCTACTACTGAGACAACTTTGGAAAATACTCTTCAGCCTGATGATAGTCCAAAGGAGAGCACTGCGTATTGGTAGTGGTCTTGTTCTAGAGTGAATCTGAGAAATTGGCTGTGAGACGGTAGGACTGAGATATGAAATTAGGTATCCTAAAAATTGAGGGCCAAAAACCAGTCTCCCTGTTCTAACACTGGAATGATCGTTGCTAAAGTGACCACCTTGAATTTTTGAGCTTTGACAAACTTGTTGAGCGGTCTGAGATCTAGTATAGGAGCTCCAGTCTCTCTTCCTCTTGGCTATTAGAAAATACAGAGAGTAGAACCCTTTGCCTTGTAGATGTTGAGGTACTGGTTCTATGGCTTCTAACTGGAGGTAGCGATCTATCTCTTGTCGTAGTAAACTCTTGTGAGAAGGGTCCCTGAAGAGGGATGGGGAAAGGTGTTGTAGAGGGCGTAGGTAGGTAAAATGGTTGGAATACCCAGTGTGAATGATCTCTATGACCGATTGGTCCGATGTTATGTTTTCCCAGGCACTGCGGAACACTGCCAATGGGTGGCTAAATAGGTATATAGCATTGGTCAGCTGTAGTGGTTGGAGGAGTGGTCTATCCATGCCTTGATCAACCTGCCAAAATTAGTGTTTGGACAAAGATGGCTGGGATGAGGAAGATTGCAGGCCAGATGGTTTACACCTAGAAAATTTCCTTTTCTTTCTCTTTGGCTTGTAGTGGCATTGAGCCAGATATTGGGGTGTGCATGGTCTATGCTGGGATTAGGGACTGAACCTCCTTTTTGTCTCCTGGCATGTAGATGACCAGTGAAAGGACAGTGGCCCTAGAGTCCTTCAGGGTGTGAAGGGAGGCAGTAGTCTTTTTTGTGAAGAGCTTCATGCCCTCAAAAGGAAGGCCTTCAACAGTTGACTGTACCTCCTTCGGGAAAGCCCAACAAATGAAGCCATGACGCTTGTCGCATCACCATGAAGATGGACCTCGCCACTGTGTCGGCTGCATCGAGGACAGACTGCAATGTTGTCTTTGCCACTAACTGGCTTTCCTGGATAATAGCCTTAAATTGGTAATGCTGTGACTCCGGCAGCTATTCAATAAAATCAGTCAGTTCTGAATAATTTATATAATCTTATTTTGTCATGAGGGCTTGGTAGCTGGTGATATGGAATCGATGCGTGGCCAAGAAGTATGCTTTTCTTCCGAAAAGGTCCAGGTGCTTCCAGTCACTGTCATAGGGAGTGGACCCCATCTGGTGTTTATGGCCATTGGAGTTGACAGCGTCCACTATGATGGAGTTGGATGGATGGTGGGAGAAGAGGAATTCAGCTTCCTTAGCTGGGACATAGTATTTTTTGTCTGCCTGCTTGCAGGTAGGTGCTACTGATGCTGGGGTTTGCCAGATTGTTCTTGCCGGGTCCAAGATAGTCTTGTTAATAGGAAGGGTGATCTTTTAATAAGAGGAAGAATGGAGGGTGTCTGACTTCTTCCAGTGGTATTTGGAGAGCATCTGCAAAAGTCATCAGCCAAAGATGATGGGGAAGGTATAATACCCTCCTCCTCCCCGGATAAAACTATGGTCACTGGGGTCACTTCTTCCTCAGCACTGCCCTCATGTTCCTCCATAACGTCTTCCACAGGCTCCAGAGCTCTGGATGCTGCAGCGAAGGGAGTGTGCATCAAGGGTTCTTGGGTGAGGCTCAAAGCTCAAGAGGCATGCTGGCAATATGCTGGTCCCAATATGGCCACTGGGGTGGTGGGTACAGAGCCCAGCAATGGTGCCCGTGAATGGTCATATCAGGATGGTGTTGGTGGAGCCATCTCAGGGTATACTCTAGGATCCTTTTCATACTGGGCACCACACGGAGCCTGGAAGGAGTACTACCACTTCCTCTGGCTTGCTGTCTGAACCCTTGCTAGACAGCGGAGAAGAGTGGCATGGCAACAGGGATGATTACCGTGCTAGGCAGAGGCTCAGTGTGGAGGTCCCGATGTCGAGAAGCGGGGACTTCTGTACATCCGATATGAAGAGGTCTCTGGAATGATGGAATTCTGCTGGTACTGACCAGCATGGTGCCAGGGGGACAAGGATCTTGCCCGTACCACTCACTCAGGTGCCAGATGAGGTGTTGATGACAGTACTGATAGACACTCACGAACCAGGAGCACCATTTTAGTGGAGAGCTTACTCCTGTCCATCGGTGCCGATGACTCAGTGCCTTTACCCATTAGGTCCATGGGTATGTCAATGGTACCTGCTGCTGTCATTTTCTGTGAGGTGTGGGTACCATGCTGGGAAGGTGTTGGTGCCAAAGATATTGAGCGTGATTGGGATCACTTATGCCTATCTCGGGGCTCACTATGGGGGCTTCCCACCTTCTTCTCCAATGACTTGTGAGAAGGGTCAGAAGCTTGCTTCTCTTCAACCCACAGCCTTTAGAATGTAGAGGGTTGTGAGAAAGACTCACATCTGCCAGGTGACTCATGGAGCATGTCCTGAGAGGGTCTGAGAGCCGGCTCCATGAAGATAATCTTCTGTCGGAGCTCTGTGTCATTACGTGAGCATGGCATGAGTTGCTGGCAGAGACCTCACATCTGCTGGATGTGGCTTTCCTCGAGGCAGCAAATACATTGGAAATGCTTGTCTGCAACCGGGATTGCCTCCTTGCAAGCGAGGCTCTTCTTGAAGCCCGTGAACCAAGCATATCTCGTTGGGGAAAGGGTCCCCACAGTGAGGAAGTAAATGCGGGTTATTTAAAAAAAAAAAAAAGAAGTTTTTTTTTTTTTTTTAAAACAGAAAAAAATGACGTAAGGAAAAAACCCCATAACTTTACTAACTAAGGCTACGTCTACACTACCGCGGTAAGTCGCCCTACGTTATGCAACTCCAGCTACGTTATTCACGTAGCTGGAGTCGACGTACCTTAGGTAGAGTTACCGTGGGGTCTACATCGCAGGGGGTCGATGGGAGAAAACCTCCTGTCGACTTACCTTACTCTTCTCGTCAGGGGGTAGAGTACAGGGATCAACTGGAGAGCAATCTGCAGTTGATTTGGCAGGTCTTTAATAGACCTGCTAAATCAACTGCCAGTGGATCAATCTCAGAGCATCTATCCCTGCTGCAGTGTAGACCTGCCCTTTGAGACTAGCTAACTATAAAAATGCAAATGGTTAGGATAGTTACTTTCTGACTGTGAATAGCTCTGTCTCTAGCCAGGGGCAGTTGAGAAGAAACAGAGGGTTTAGCCGGCATGAGCTGACTAGCCTCATGGCATAGAATGAGGAGACATAGCAGATGTGCTGGCCTAATGGACACTACTGCTGAACTTCTCCGATCAGCAGCTTAGGGACACAAGCACACCTACAGTAGGCATACTACTGGAACCATAGGAACACTACTGGAAGAAGAACATTATCTAGATCTTTCTGCTAAAGTGATAAGCAAAGAAAGAGTTTAAATTTGGCTTTTAAATTAACAAATTACATTTCAGAGTTACTCCATTGAGATGAAAAGTGGTGTATCTCACATCTTTTAGAATTAGTGTTTCAACATGGAACTGGTTCACATACCGAAAGTTATTTTTCCAAACATGAGGACTCAAAACTTAATTTTCTACTGTAATATATTTGGCAGACAAATTTGGTGACAGGACTGTATTCTTAGGTCACGAATCACAGAAAATAAAATGCCAGTACTCATTATAAATAAAATTTTCAAATATGAGAACAGCTGTAAAATAAACATACATTTCAAATCTGAGATCTGAACTGAATGTCAAAATTCAAGGAATAAAAAGGTTATATTGTCATTGTCAGTTAAAATGCACTTGAAGCTGCCACAGAATTTAACACAGAACACTGGGTTCTTGTGCTGTAGGAGAAGCTGACAACAATCTTGGCTACAGTGCTAAATTCACATTGGGTGTGTATTCTTCCATCTCCTGCTAGATCTTTTGTTTTTAATATGTGTAAGAAAACTGGTATACAAATACAAGTTACCTTGCCCTACAGACAAGAGTACCTTGACTGTACCTGTAGAATAAGTTCTTGTAGCTGAGACTGTTTTTGCTTTATTCTTTCAAGTCTTCTCTGTCTCTCCACCTTCAGAAAGAAAAGGGGTTTTATTTTAACAGTATTTCATACTCAAATATATTTTATGATGAAAACATTTGACATTAAAAATGTCTAAAAATGCCATCCACTGAATTTTAATAAATTATAATTTTATACTGCTTTTTAGTGTACGGTCTCAAAAAACAAAAGTTTTTACATCAATTGGAAACTAGAGAGTGGACATTATATTAAAATCACATATAAAAAGATAGTCCCAGGCTCAAAACTTAAATTTATGGCATATACTATCTAAGCTAGTGAAAGAGAAATCTCATATGTGGTGTGCTTTGACAGTTTAATTCAGATATTTACATATTAACACAATTAAACTAAAACTATTTGCAAGATTATTTCAAGCCAAAGACCTTACTCATTACAGCAAATTGTGTGTTATGAAATCATAGGTGTCAAAACAACAAACTCCAGCGAACATATACACTATAGATAATTTCAGAAGTACCTAGCAGTCAAGAGGATTTATCTTAAGGCCCAGATTTTTAAAGGTATTCAGGAGTTGCTGCACTCAACATTCCACTGCCTTACTGATTTATACACCTAAATCTCATCTTCAAAAGGAATGTAGGCACTTACAAGACACAATCCCATTGACAGGGATGAAGGCCTAAATGAGTACGATGCTTTAGAAAATGGGGTTTGGGGTAAAATTTTCAGAAAAACCTATATCCCTGAATACTTGGCCTGTTTTGGAAACATTTATTTAAAGGGTGAAGCTACACATTTTCCGTTGATACAGGACAGTATTGTTTGTGCATTAAGCAGTGCAATTTTACAAGTTTATAAAACCCCCACATTTATTATAAAAGGTACCTGGGTAAACTCAGTTATAACTAAAATTACAACAGAACTCACATTATAATCTCTATTTCCAAATACTCAAAACTTCCTGGAAAAGCTACTCTCTTGGGCTGGTTAGGCTCAGTCTAGAGGCAATGCTGCGTTTTGTTTGGAAGTTAAAAATTTTTTTTTAGCCATTTCCACATTACACACTTCCTCCAAATAAAAAGAAACTGAAATAATTTTTTCTTATGTAAGAATCAAATGTCTGAGAATTTGAAAGTTTGAAATTCAGATTGGGTCTTAATTTGCACAGAAAGAAGAACAGCAATAATTTGCTAATTCTGGCTGCTACAATACTAACTGCAGTACCAGTTATGATGAGTATGGCCAGGTGCCCACCCCTGAAGGCAGAGCCGGAGTCAACAGTAGCACAGAAGTAAGGATGGCATGGTATGGTATTGCCAGCCTTACTTCTGTGCTGCTGCCTACAGAGCTGGGCCCTCAGTCAGCAGCTGCCACTCTCCAGCTGCCCAGATGTGAAGGCAGCAGCACAGAAGTAAGGGTGGCATGGTATACTATTGCCATCCTTACTTCTGCACTGCTGCTGGTGGTGCACTGCCTTCAGAGGTGGGTGCCCAGCTAACAGCCGCCCGACTCCAGCCCACCAGATCTGAAGGCAGCACAGAAGTAAGGGTGGCAATACTGCAACCTCCCTAAAATAACCTTGCGAACCCTCTGCAACTTCCTTTTGTGTCAGGGCCCCCAATTTGAGAAACACTGGTCTCCCCTGTGAAATCTGTACAGTATAGGGTAAGTGCACACGCAAGACCAGATTTCACAGGGGGAGACCAGATTTCACCGTCCGTGACATTTTTCATGGCCGTGAATTTGGTAGGGCCCTATGTATCGGTGCTCCTCTTCAGAAGGATGCAGCTTGGATTTGAGATTTTCAGTAGCAGTGCCCGTTCAGCTTGTACATGCCCTCTACTTGGCCTCATGCCCTGCGCCGAGGTCATATAGAGCTGTGCAGGTGAACTGCACTCAGTTCCATCTAGACTGCAAGGTCTCTTAAAGGAAACCCCAAAGCAGAGCTAGAGCATTCATAGGGACACACACTATCTTGAAGAACTACAGTTACTGCACAGGATGAGTAACCTTTCCTTCTTCAAGCAGTGTTCCTATGGGTTTTCCATTTCAGGTGACCACCAAGCAGTATCCTCATGAAAAAGAGGGGGCTTTGGAGTCAAGTCCAATACTGAAATAATAGTGCAGAGCCAGACACAGCATACAAAGCTGAATTATAGATTACTACAAAGTGCTTTGAAAAGAAGTGTGTATAGAGGTTCAAGTTGCAGCTCTACAGATCTCAGTGATGGAAACATTCTTGAGAAAAACTACTAAGGTAGAGACACACCTCGCTGAATGGGCTAATACCCTAAGAAGAGGCTGAATATCATTATACTGATCACAAGAAATGATGCATCCAGATACCCACCTAGAGAGTCTTTGTCTGGAAACTGTAGATTCCTTACATCTGTCAGCAAATTGATACAAACAATTTGGGACGTTTTCTAAATAATTTAGTTCTGTCCATGTAAAAGACTAATGCGCTCTTACGCAATGCAGCATCCCCCTAGCCAAATATGGTTTGAGGAAGAAAACTGGGAAATGAATAACCTGGTTAATACAGAATTCTGCTGATAGCTTAGTTAAGAACTTTGGGTGAAGCTGTAGCAAAAATTTATCTTTGACAAATACAGCAAAGACAGGGGTTGCCTGTAGGGACCCCCTCTCTATCCAACTCTTTGAGCAGACCTAATGGCTACCAACAAGGCCATCTTCATAGATAAATTCAGTAGTGAACAGGGAACCATTGAATCAAAGGTAGGTATCATAGGCACCTGAGCACTGAGGTCCCAAACCAGAGTAGAATGTTTAATTTGAGGGGAGAGTTTCCCCAGACTTTTGACAATTCTCACCTTAATCGGGTGAGCAAACACTGAGAAACCTTCTGCCAGAGAATGGAATAAGTCATGCTAGCTGCCAAGTGAATTCTAACAGAACTCTGAGATAACCCCAAGTTCTTCAGTTACAGAATGTAGACCAATAGCAAAGATGATGAAAGGTGAAAGATGTCGCAGAATGCGCCAATGGCTAAATATATTACACTTTTGCAGGTTGGTATTGTGCGTAGAGTCCTTCCTGCTATTTAAAATACCCTTTTCACCTGCAGAGCAGGTAGTTTCTATCCCTATGAACCATCGATGAGCTATGCTTTGAGGCAAAGAACGCAGAGGTTTGGATGAAGGACCAACCAGTATCCAGAGAGAGGAGATGGGGAATGACTGGGAGACTAATTGCCTGATGATCTGCCAGCTGCATGAGGTAAGGAAGCCATGTCTGTCTTGGCCACATTGGGACTATCAGTATAAAGTTGGCCTTCTTCTGTCTTGTTCTCTACTTTCAATATTAGAGACACTGGGAGAAAAGCAAACAATAGCCACAGTGTCCAAAGAAGGAGAAAGGCATCCCCCAGGAGTGGCGACCCAGTCCCTCTCTTGAACAGAGCTGAGTGCACTTCTTGTTCATGGTAATGATGAAGAGGTCCCCCTACAGAAGACCCAAATCTAAAATAAGCAACTGAGAATCCAATGGTCTAGCTCCCATTCATAATCCTGTGCAAAATTTCTGCTTAGCGAGTCTACTATGATGTTCTGAATGCCAGAAAGGTACACTGCAAATATGTAGATATGACTGAGTATGCACCAATTCCATAGTGTTATGGCTTAGAGTAAAGGGAATGCGATCTCACTCCCCTTTGCTGGTCAACATAAAACATGCAGGCCACATTTTCTGTCATGCTCTTGATGCACCTGACTCTGATCAATGGCATAAAATGGAGACAGGCATTTATGACTGCTGAGTTCCAGCAAGCTAACGTGTAGGGTGATCTTGTGAGGACGAGTATATAGCAATTCAAGTATCTAGGTGTACTCCCCATCCCAAAAGAGATGCATCTATTATTACAGCAGTTGGAGGTGGCTGGGTAAAGAAAAATCCTGCACAGACATTGTGGGGGGATGGGGGTGTCTTTCCACAAATCAAGAGAGGCCTTTATGAATTGGGGAACTGAGACCTGTCCATCCACACTGTGTTTGTTTGGAAAGTAGATGGTTGAAGTCATTGCTGGGGGCAGTGAAAATGCAATCTTGCATGGTTTACTATGAAGGTACATGCTGAGATATGCCCCGAATGTTGAAGGCAGTTCCTGGCTGACCTAGATTGTGGTGGTAAGATTCGATAGTGTCATAAACCTGGGTGGTGGAAGGTAGCCTTTGGCAGTTACTGTATCTGCAGATGCACCTATGAATTCTAGTAATTGCACACATTAAAGCAGACTACTGGATATTTAACTGAAGTCCTAGCTCGATGAACAGTGCTATGGCCTTTTGAGTGGCGAACAAGGTCTCATCATAAGATCGACCCTTCAGCAGACAATCATCAAGATACGGTTATATTACAATTGCTTCTCTGCAGAGATAGGCAAGACCACTGCCAGAACTTTTGAGAACACTCCGGGAGCAGAGGAGAGACTGAATGGGAGTACCCAGTATTGTAAATGATCTTGGCCTAATGCAAAATGAAGAAATCTCCTATGGGAAGGATAGATCACTGTATGGAAATAAGTTTCTTGTATGTCAAGGGCTGAAAATCCTTTGAAATTTTTAACCTTCAAAATTTGTTCAGGATACTTAGCTCTAGAATGGGTCAAAACCCTCCATTGTTTTTTGGGACCAGGAAGTACAGTGACTCCTCGCTTAAACTTGTGGTTATATTCCTGAAATATGCTACTTTAAGCTAAATGATGTTAAGCTAATCCAATTTCCCATAAGAATTAATGAAAATGGGGGAGGGTGTGAGTTAGGTTCCAGGCAAATTTTTTTCATCAGTCAAAAGAGTATAAATTTTAACAAACAGTTTAATACTGCACACAGCAATGATGATTGTGAAGCTTGGTAGAGGTGGTAGAGTCGGAGGGTGGGATATTTCCCAAGGAACACCTTACTGCTAAATGATGAACTAGCACTCAGCTGAGCCCTCAAGGGTTAATACATTGTTGTTAATGTAGCCTCACACTCTAAAAGGCAGCAGGAACGGAGGGAGGGGAGACAACATAGCAGGGAGACACTGTGTGTGTGTGTGTGTGTGTGTGTGTGTGTGTGTGTGTGTGTGTGTGTGTGTGTGTGTGTGTGTGTGTGTGTGTGTGTGTGTGTTGCACATTGCCCCTTTAAGCACACTGATCCCACTCCAAGTACACTGACTTTTTAAGTAGATCAGCAAGTTGAAACAGCAGTTACTTCCAGCAAGCTCCCCACATCATGAGCCCTGTCATGTCGCTCCCCTTCACCGCTCTGTGGAGATGGGATAAAGGAGTGGGGGGCAGGAGTGGGACATGTGCAAAGTTTCAAAAAGTTCAATGAATAGAAGATTGTTGGGGGAGGAATAGATCTGGACAAGGAGAAGTAGTCTGGCGATAAATGTGAGAAGGGAGGGACAGGCAGTAGAAACAAAAGTGAAACTGTTTGAGCAGCATATTTCAGAAGTCTTGAGGCCTTTCTCAGTGTAGCCTTCATTGATTTGAGATCTACCATACCATTCTCTCACTAGAGGGGAAAACCTATAATGGCAGCAGGCCGTAAAAGAGACCCAGTTTGGGAATATTTTAATGAAGTTCCTCTACATGTGGGTAAGACAAGCATGCGTGCAAAATGTAAACAGTGCAACAAAGAAATGCAAGGCCTGGTTGCCCAAATGAAACAACATCATAAGAAGTGTTCCTTCTCAGGAGGAAGCTGCGTTGAAGATGGTGAAAGGAACATGTCGGAACATGCAGGATCTTCAGCTTGGTAAACTTTTTTATTTCGTACTTTTTTCTTAAGGACTGCCTGTCTTCCTTCTGAATTATTCTTGAATTGTCACGTTTGAGCAAAAAATAGAGTTTTAGATGCAATTGTGATAAAAAAATAAATAGCTGAAATAGGCAGATCTTCCTTTTACAATTTCACCTTTAAAGTAGTACTGCGTGTCAGTGAATGCAATGAGTAATACTAAAGGAGCAGCATGGGAATAATAATTAAATAACTGCATTGACTTATTTTGTTTAGGAGAATCCATCCTTGACATACAGGATTCTGAAGACTATCCACCTTCAAGATCACCATCATTTTCTCTAGTTTCAGAGTTATCTGCCAATGACAATGTTTCATCACATCATGTAGGTCACATAGCCACAGTATAGCAAAAAAAAAAAAAAAAAAAAATCTCCATCATCCAGAAACAACCATAGATAAGTTTGTGATAAGAACCAGCAGATTACAAAAAAGAGGTAATTGATGAAAAAATTGCCCGGGTTTGTTTATGCAACAAACTCTCCTTTCCGTATGATTGGGAACCCACATTTCGTTAACATGGTTCAATCATTAAGACCAGGATACAGTCTACCCAACAGCACAGATGTTGCAGGCAAATTGCTGGATAAAGCGTATGAAAGAGAAATTGAGCAGTGTGCAAAAGGTCTAGAGGATAAAATTGTTAACCTGAATCTTGATGGGTGTCCACAATGATCCCATTGTATGTGCCTCTGTGACAACAGAAGAAGGGAATGTCTTCCTTACAGAAACAATTGATACATCAGGAAATGCACAAAAGGCAGAGTATTTACAAGTAGCAGCAGTAAAAGCTATAACAAACTGTGGGGAAAAAATCCAAACGTCTAGTACACAGCTTGGTCACAGACAATGCAGCAAATGTATCCAAGATGAGAAAAAATTATTTAGAAGAGAGTCCCAAGCTAACAACATACAGTTGTTGAAACTGAAAAATACTGCCATAACAACCACTTTTCAGCAGCTGCTCTGAAAAAAGTGGGAGGAACCAAGCTAACTCTCCCACAAGACGTGCAATGGAACTCAGTAGTGGACTGTTTTGAGCACTATATCAAGAACTAGCCTAATCCAATGACAGTTTGTGAACAAAATCATGAAAAAATAGATGGCACTATCACAGCCAAAGTTCTCAACATTGGGCTGAACACATGCCGAGTCCCCTGAAGCCTATTTCTGTGGCCTTGAACACAATGCAGGGAAATAGCGGTTTTATTGCGGACGCTGTTGAAATTTGGAAGGAACTGAGGGAGATCTTAAAAAGAGAAATATGCAATGACAGAGTTAAATTACAAGCATTAAAAAAACAAATGGGACAAGCACTATGTCCAGCTCATTTTTTTGTAAATATTCTCAAGAGTTGGTACCAGGGTCAAACCTTAACTGCTGAAAAGGAAGAGTTGGCTATGACAGGCATCCAGCAATCATCCCTCCATAATGCCAACTATAATAAATGTCAGAGTTAAGGGTGAACAATTCAAGAAATATGTTTGCTGATATTTTAAAGAAAGTCACACCAGTGAACTGGTGGAAGTCACTTAAGCACTTGGATTCAGAGACTGTTGAAGTGATAATCTCCCTTTTAACAGCAGTAGCTTCCTCTGCCAGTGTCGAAAGAATATTTTCTTCCTTTGGACTAATTCATTCCAAATTGAGAAATCGTGTGGGACCTGAAAAAGCAGGAAAGCTTATTTTTCTTTTCCAGATTATGAACAGGAAAACAAAGGTGAAGACTGACTTATAAAACAATTTAAATGTCTGTCTGGTGTTCTCCTCCTCCTAATACAGCACGGCAAGAAAATCCTCCAAATATTAATGATTAACCTGTTGAATTGGAGATAATTCACGTCCCAATGACTTCATAAATATCTCCCTTCAATTACCTTTGGTAAATGAAATAACCAAAACAATCATTCATTTTCTGATATAGCTGTAAAACTAAGCTGAAAAGTTTTCTAACTAGATCACTTTAAAAAGGTCTGTTGTGTACCTTCTAAAAATGAAACCTACATCTATTGCGGAGTTGTGAAGAATATGTATTAAGGTTATAGCAACCAACAAGAATACACTTTTATGTAGAAATCCATGATTAAATAGAGTCTTCCTGACTAGTGATTTAAATCAAATCCACCCTGATTGATAGCCTGCTGGGTGGCTGCCGCACAGGGAATTTAGGGGAGCTGGGAGCTGATGGGGGGCTGCCGGACCATCCTGGTTACAAGCCCCCACGAGCTAGCGCCAATGGGCTGCTCTTTCTGCAAGCAGCAGACAAAACAGGCGGCCGCCAAACAATGTTATAAGGGAGAATTGCGCAACTTTAAATGAGCGTGTTCTCTAATTGATCAGCAACGTGACAACAAAACAACGTTAACCGGGATGACGTCAAGTGAGGAGTTACTGTACCTTAATAGAACCCCTTCCCTTTGTGCTGAACAGGCACTGGTTCTGTAGCTCCTATGGTCAGAAGGGAGTCACAATCCTGTCTTAGCAGGTGCTTGTGAGGACAGTCTCAGAAGAGAGATGGGAAGAGGGGATAGGGTAGAGGGAGGAAGGTAAAGTGGATAAAACATTCTGATATTGTGATCTCCAAGCCACACTTGTCCACAGTGATTTGCTCTCACGGCTGCTGGAATTGGAAAGGCAGTCCCCAAAGGGACTCAAATATCCAATAGCTCAGAAGACCATATTCAGGTAGGATTAGATCACATTAAAAATCTTTAAGATTTAGCTAAACAAAAATATCAACTACTGAATTTCCCACATGTATACCTCTAAATTCTGACATTCCTGAGCCGAGTTAGTAGGTAAACCAATCCATTTGATCTCCTTCTTCTCCTTAGAGATAATGTTCATAGCCATAAGGACATTTAAGGCATCGTAGACACGTCGTCTAATATTCTTCTGGTCATAAGCCTGCTGTAGACACAATGAATTAATCAAAAACATACTAGTGACAAAAACGTTTGAAAATGTATTACAGTAGATGGGTAAACTCAGGTAGCGTCTCAACTGTTTCATTTAGCATTAGGAAAAACAAAAAAGTCACATTTTCCCCCACTCAAGTGGCATGTAACCCAGCAACATACTTACTGATTCATTTGGTGAAATGTGATTATCAGTGGTACTGAACTCTGCAACCAACTCATCTGCCACCTCATTATATGAGGTGGTTCCTTTTCTCTGTACCTTCTCACAAACCTTCATAGAGAAGTGTCGCAAACCCTTGCCATTCTTCTCTCCTTTTTTGTTGCGCTTCCTAGAAAATATGTTTTAAAGTAACCGATCAATATTCCAAAGTTTTCTGGTTTGCCAGTTAAACACGTATTGTTCTGAAATATAACCCTTAAAAATTTTAATCAGCAAAGAGGGCATTGTACTCCTAGAACAGGACAATAAAAGTTACTCGCCTGAGTAGGTGGGGGGAGGGATAGCTCCGTGGTTTGAGCATTGGCCTGCTAAACCCAGGGTTGTGAGTTCAATCCTTGAGGGGGCCATTTAGGGATCGGGGCAAAAATCGGGGATTGGTCCTGCTTTGAGCAGGGGGTTGGACTAGATGACCTCCAGAGGTCCCTTCCAACCCTGATATTCTATGATTCTATGAATCATGGATCTGATTAAATTTACAACTAATTCTTGGTTTTATCTTGAATATGAAACACGTCAAGCTAAATTCATCCCTGCTGTAACTCTGCTAGTTTCAATACCAGAGATGAATTTGGATGATTACTTTTAGAAGATGTCAAATTAGTGGTAAAGAAGTTTCTTCTGAAAAGGAGGAGAGTAGTGTAATTGGAATGTGTTTTCATATTAACATCTGCAAGTTGAGGGGAAAAAAGAAAGGGCTAAAACTAGAAACCCTCTGAACTAGAGGAGCTAAAATTTATTTTTCTAGAGCATATATAATCCGACATTCAGGACAGTTAAAATAGTCAAGTATGTTATACTGAAAATCTGATATTGTATTCAACATTACAGAATAACCAAAATATGGATTTGAATGGTCATGGAATACAACTTTACTATGAATATTTCAAACCTAGGGTAGATGCGTCCTACAGCACTTTCAGCATTATTGCATAAGCATTTAGAAGAATATGATAGTTAAGTTCTTAGCATAAATTTCAAATGAAAAATTGTCTGGGTAACTAAAAAATATTTTGTTACAATAAAATGTAAATATGAAAGTCAGCAAATGGAACAGCTTTCAATTTCTGCATATATGGGTGCTTAAATACTTTAGGAACAACACAACTCCATAATTCCCTAATATAAATATTTCTTAGGGCCCCCCCAAAAAGACACCCCAATAAATGTTAACTTTAAAGCAACTACATTCATCAGTGGGTCCTTCAAAACAATCGTGTGCGTAATAAACCCCCAAAGCACGTTTATGTGAAATCCAGAAGTGAAGCTTTCTTCAAGTTGAGCTACGATCTTATGCTTCTCATTTAAAATGGTCTACAGAATTATGCTTGTTTGGTTTGAAACAATATATTGCATTTATATTTTATCTGACAGTACAAGAGGATGAAAAATCTCAGTTGATTTCACTTGTTCTTTTAAGAGCCACTATCTTAGTGTAAACATGACATCAGAACACTACGTGTCAGTTTGTTTCCTCAGAAATCTGACTTTTGCTACACTGAAGTGAAAAGGTGTTCTTATTTCTCTCTCTACTCTAGGTATTAAACAAAAACTTAAGAGATCTCTTAAATTAAATCCCTCCTTCATATCAGTGTACCTACAGAGCACATTAATCCAAAAAAGAGAACTTTAGGACAAAATTTCCAAACAATTCTATGAATCCCTTGTAACTTAACAGAATTTTGCTCACCCAGCAGACCAAGGCGAAGAGTCTGCAGTCTGGTTCTGTGATACAAAGTGTGAATTGGGTGTATGTGGACTTCCTACCAGGATAGTATTTGGCGCTGAAGGTCTCTGAGGTGTACCAATAACCTACAGTTAAAACAAAATAATTTGGAATACAGTCAGAAGACTCCCACATTATTCAGATGCATTTCCCCCACTTTTCTGGAGCCATTTCTTTATTTCCACCTATCTCCATGAGATAAATAAAGTACCATCATCCTACCAAAGAAAACCCTTGCAGTTGTACATGGGTTTTCCCATATTGGCTTAGACTACTGTATGTTCAGGTGACAAGTTTTTATTTTTCCTTCCTTTGATCAACCTCATCTGCTTTCTTGATTTGTGATCAAAATTTGGCACAAATCTGACAAAAGTCAAAGCAAGCCTCAACAACTTAACACTAGTAAGTCAGAAAAAAATTAAAGAGAAAAGGATAAACTAAGCTTATAATAGAAAGCAAACAAAAAGGAACTCTAAAGCCAGTAACTCCTCTGGTAAGTAGGCATAAAATGTAGTGCCTACTGCAAAGAACAACCCCATCATCTCTTCTGATTCTCTCTCCTTCCTGCTACTGCATCAAACACAAAACCAACACATACAGCTTTGGACTTGGGTAAAAGTCACTCTTCCAGTCCGCTTCAGATTAATCAGGTTTACCATGAACAGAGCCAGTTTTCGCAGTACATATGGAACACTGTTTTCTCTACATTTGTAGAACTGGATGATGCAGTAACCCTCATCTCTGCTGTAGGATGGTGCTTCACATCTAATCTTGCATAACAATATAACTTTCGAAAGCATATAGTTATGAAGAAAAGCCTCTAAAACGAACTGATACAGCATAGCCTTCCTGATTTTGCAGAAAAATCTGCCTATTCATCTAAATTGCATCTACTTCCCCAACAAAGGCATTAAATTGAACCTGAAAGCTAAAACCTCAAAACACCCCCCATATTTTCCTGAGTGTCAAATGCCTCCGTATCCTTCTACCCAGCTGCCTCAAGCATCACCAGTCCAATTTCAATAGAGTTACCCTGATGTGATGTTTTGGCAGTACAAGTGTTAATAACTAAGATCACAGAGCTTGAAAGATTTTCCACATCACCCACTGGACAGGACTAAACCTGCTAACCAGATGTCCATATGAACAATTATCAGGGAGCCCACTAGCAAAAGCCCTGGTGAGAAACCAAGCCCATTTTCTCTGCAGCCCCTACAGGCTTAGAAGGGGGAAACTCTTGGGATTCCTACCAGGGTATTGTCTCTATACCTTATGCAGGGACTCCCTCTCTCATATCAGTTGTGCTCCCTTTCAACTGCTGGAAAGCACTGAATTCTCTTCTCCCACCCCCCCATTACCTTCCCCACATAATCCAGAAGTTTCTAACTAATGTGGAAGGTCACCTTTTCATCACGCCCCCGGAACCCCTACCCACAATGCTGCTAGCTGTTGCTGACAGAAGAAGAGGCATAAAAGGGTTGCATGTCAGCTAATAACATTTTCCTCCTCAAAGAGCCCCAGCACTTCTGCTGCACTTCGTAGCTTCCTCAGGCAATGTCGGCAGCAGCAGCAGGGATAATGGAGGAGTCTGAAAGTTCAAAATCTTTATCTGCACTGGGAAAGTGAGTTGTGTTTAATCCCCTCCACACTAAACTGCCCAGTTTTCACACTCTTGGGTCTTGCAACATTCCCGTTTCATCAGTTCTCCAGGCACCATAGATTCTTCCTCCCTAGCTGGTACCTGATATGCTAGTGTAAAAGACAGCCTTTCAAAGAAGGTGTAGGCCTTCTTTGAAGATCGAAGCAAGGCACAAGACCTTTAATTTTATGATTATTGTTACATATAAGTATTTTCTGACTTGTTCTAGATCAGAGATTCATTTTAAGTACTATTAAATATTCACAAGGTCTGTAGCACTCCTCCTATGTGCCACAGTACTCTTTCACTGAGCAAAATCATCCTGTTAAGACTCCATATTACGTCTGTTAGATCACTCCACCTGAATGACTATAATCTAAGTGTAAATACATTTTTTTAAATACAGCCATCTTTGATGCCTGTTTGGCCACTTGTATTTATTTCAGAGAAAATATTTCATGTGTTACAGAGAAGAAAATGGGGGTCAAAACCAAAAATATATATATATTTTTTCAGATTCAGAGGTATTTAGAGTTATTTTCGGGTAGATAAAAATCAACGACTTAAAATAAAAAAAATCAGATTTTTTGATAAAATGCTTTTTGAGGAAAAACCTATCTAAAGATAGTTGTAATTAAGATACATTAGCTCAAAATATCTCATCATGGAATAGGGATTATATATTCTAATTCTATAGACATGAGCCAATATATTCATGTAATATGTGAGGAAAGTTTTGTAAATGAGTTCCAATAGTTCATGAACTAGGGATCCAATTTATGGGGTTCCAGGGGCTTCTGTATAGATTATTTAGGTTAACATTTCTATCTACCCAAAGGGACTCAATGCTCAGTCTAGAAGATACCATCAAAGATGCTTAGTTTTGCAGTTCTCAAACTGCGGATTTGTGTCTCCAGAGCTAACCTCGTTGTTAACAGCAAAAATGTTTTAAAATAAATGAATAAATAAATATATAGAGGTGAGAAATAACAGACCTCAACCCTATTGTTCCTCTGCAAATTTGTGTACAGAGTCAATCCCTTACCTCTCTCCAAAAGTGCAAAGTTTCAAAAAGTTCAATGAATAGAAGATTGTTGGGGGAGGAATAGATCTGGACAAGGAGAAGAAGTCTGGCGATAAATGTGAGAAGGGAGGGACAGGCAGTAGAAACAAAAGTGAAACTGTTTGAGCAGCATATTTCAGAAGTCTTGAGGCCTTTCTCAGTGTAGCCTTCATTGATTTGAGATCTACCATACCATTCTCTCACTAGAGGGGAAAACCTATAATGGCAGCAGGCCGTAAAAGAGACCCAGTTTGGGAATATTTTAATGAAGTTCCTCTACCTGTGGGTAAGACAGGCATGCATGCAAAATGCAAACAGTGCAACAAAGAAATGCAAGGCCTGGTTGCCCAATGAAACAACATCATGAGAAGTGTTCCTTCTCAGGAGGAAGCTGCGTTGAAGATGGTGAAAGGAACATGTCTGAACATGCAGGATCTTCAGCTTGATAAACTTTTTTATTTCGTACTTTTTTCTTAAGGACTGCCGGTCTTCCTTCTGAATTATTCTTGAATTGTCACGTTTGAGCAAAAAATAGAGGCAGGGCCTGGTTGACCAAATGAAACAACATCCTGAGAAGCTGTGCTGAAGATGATGAAAGGAGTTGGCTATGACATGGACATCCAGCAATCATCCCTCCATAATGCCAACTATAATAAACTTCAAAGTTAAGGGTGAACAATTCAAGAAATATGTTTGCTGATGATGTTTTAAAGAAAGTCACACCAGTGAACTGGTGGAAGTCACTTAAGTGGATTCAGAGACTGTTGAAGTGATAATCTCCCTTTTAACAGCAGCAGTTTCTTCTGCCAGTGTAGAAAAAATATTTTCCTCCTTTGGACTAATTCATTCCAAATTGAGAAATCGTGTGGGACCTGAAAAAGCGGGAAAGCTAGTTTTTCTTTTCCAGATTATGTACAAACAGGAATGCGAAGGTGAAGACAACTGAGTTAACTGAAGAAGCCAATATTTTAAGTTTTTCATATTGACCTGGCTGACAGTCAATTTGTTGGGTTTTTTTTTTAAATATTTTATTTAAACTATTTCAGGTAAAAACAAATTTTAACAAAAAACAAACCCAATTTTAAAAAACTTGAATGTTTAACTAAATTCAAAAATTCATATGCTTGTTTTGTTGCAATATTGTATGTTTGCTGTTGAAAAAAATCCAGAATACATAATATTGCTGTTTTAGATAAATAAAACAATGTAAATGTCTGTCTCATGTTCTCCTCCCCCTAATACAGCATGGCAAGCAAATCCTCCAATTATTAATGATTAACCTGTTGAATTGGAGATAGTTCACCTCCCAGTGACTTCATAAATATCTGCTTCAATTACCTTTGGTAAATGAAATAACCAAAACAATCAATCATTCATTTCTGATATAGCTGTAAAACTAATCTGAAAAGTTTTCTAAATAAATCACTTAAAAAAATGTCTAGTGTGTACTTTCTAAAAATGAAACCTACATCTATCTCCGAGTTGTGAAGAATCTGTATTAAGGTTATAACAACCAACAAGAATGCACTTTTATGTAGAAATCCATGATTAAATAGAGTCTTCCTAACTAGTGATTTAAATCAAATCCACGCTGTGACGTTATGATTATGCTTTGATAACAAAAACAAAATGGAGTCCAGTGGCCCCTTAAAGACTAACAGATTTATTTGAGCATAAGCTTTCGTGGGTAAAAAACCACTTTTCCAGATGTTTTTTACCCACGAAAGCTTATGCCCAAATAAATCTGTTAGTCTTTAAGGTGCCACTGGACTCCTTGTTGTTTTTGTGGATACAGACTAACCCTGCTTTGATACCAATACTTCTAAAAGTAGTTTCATCACTGGGTTACTGAATTAAGCTTAATAAAGCTAATGTAAGTGCTGCAGAATTTTTAATTTCCTTGTCTGAAAACCTAAAGGATAAAATGCCCCATACAAAGGACCAATTTTACTCAGTCATTACCACATACGACTTACACTGTGACATCAAATCAATAGCTGATTTAATTCATAACAGGAACTGCAATGCAATAAAATAGTCTGCAGTCATACAAACATTTCATTAGGTCGTAGTCCACAGTCTCAGTGGAGACTCTTGAGAACTGTCTGCAGCTGAACTGTCTTAGGATCGGTGTACACAAAGACTTGGTACCTATATAACTATTTCAGTTTAAAAAAAAAAAATCATACCCGTGACTGAAATAGTTATACAAATGCAACTTCTGTGAATTACCACATCCCTACTGTGGATGCAGTCAAATCAGTTTAGCTTATTGGCATATTGGTATAACTGTACAGTCTAAACTGGGGAGTGAGGCGATTGTTGAACTGTCTTAGCTACAGAAGTATAAAGTGCAGTGGCAGTGTGTGCGTGCAAAACTCTGTAGCTTCTTGAATTCTCTCAGCAATAACACCACCTCTTGCTCAGTTCCCCTCCCCACCAATTCTCTTAGTGCTGTGTTTGTATACTGAAAATCAATCCACATTAAACCACGCGCACATGCACATACAAATTCAAATGTGTTTATACTATGGCACCTATTTTTTCTTTTATAAAATGAAATGCTTATGAAAGGTGCTATGCTGAAGTCCTGTTTTTCCCCAGAGAACAGTACAGTAAAGGCAGCAGTTGTGCCCTCAGTGTCTTGCAAATGTAACAACCTGAACCACTTTTACAGATGAGAATATAATTCAGTTTCTATGCAAATTAAAATCCTTAGCAAAAAAGTTACTCTGCAGAGACGCTAACTATAACACCTCTCCCTACGTAACAGAATAAATATATCAGTTCATGTCACATGGCTCACCAAATGGTTTTGTTTGCTATTGCAGTAATATGGATTGCACTTGGAACGTGCATTGTCGAGACAATCATTTTATCTGATCACCGGCTCCTTAAGTTATCCAGTCTATACACATTTTGCTTTTTTTAAAATTACAATACGCTTTTCAGCAGAAATGTCTGAAATAACCATTTTTTAAAATATGGACAAAAAAAATCTATAAAATCCCACTGATTTTCCAATTTTGATCTCAATAACATATTTGCAAATGGGCTTTTGGATAAAGTTTCAGGTTGGTGTGTTTTGAAAGTGTCATGGATTTATCACAGAAAGATTGACAGACAATAGAGGAATCTGAATATTCAGTAGTCTGAAGTATTGAGGGTTGATGTACTTTTTTGTCAATAACTTTCATGATTAGCCCAACACGTGCTCCCTCTCCCCACAAAAACAACTAATGTTCCAAGTACAATTTAAAGTCATACTAAGAAGCCTTTACTATACAGAAAAGTGAGACGGTACGTTCTACATAGAACTAGTAACAACTGATGCTTTACATGATGCATTTACACTGAACCACACAGTTAGATTCATATGTACAACCAAAGGCAAAAAAAATTTAAACTCTCCTTACCACTTGCTGTGCAATGTTGACATTAGACTGTCCAAATGTTTTTGGCAGGAGCTGTTTTCCAAGTGTATTTACTGTAGAAGGATGAACAGCCACTAATGAAACAACCCCTAAAACAAATATAAATACAAATTTTCAGGTCAGCTTTGTTTCTTTCAGTAAATCTAAATTCATATTAATATCAAAGCACATAAAATTCAGTGAAAACTAGTTTTCAATAGGCATCTACACAAGCATCAAAAACAAAATTTCTGAAGATGTGCATAAAAGCACCCTACGAATGGAAATATATACTAGTATATTAGTGTAATATATTTTTCCTTCCTTCAAACGAACACAAAATTAAGATTCCCAGTATGCCCTCCCAATCTTTCTCTGCTGTGGACAATTGATGCTCTGTGATCCATTAAATCTTCCAAGCTTTTAAAAAACAAATACCCCAAAACCCACTCTCTCCTAGCCTCACAATGTAGTACCAACAGGTGGAGTTGTTCATAGAACTGTCTCACCTCTGCTCAGAGAAGCAAAACGTTCTACTAAGACTCTCTCCAGGCAGTGTGTCTCCCATTTTTCTCTGTCCTTGATAGGTCCCTTTCTCCCCCTCCCCAGCAGTGAGGGAATTTTTGAGAACAGGAGCCCGAACCCACCGACTACCACAACATCCAGTCCACTGCCTACTGCAGCACCCCAGGACCTGCAGGAAATTGGTATTTGAAGAGAGAAAGCTGAGCAGTGTAGCAGGCCCAGCTAAAATTAAAGGGGCTCCTTCCTGCTCAGCTGTGCAATTTTGTAGGGCCTCCCGCCACTCAACAGCAAGGTAGTAGCCAAGCCATTAGCTCTTTAGGGCAGAAATTCAGCAGCAGAAACTGGCTTTGCATAATCTCCAAGCCATATATTCCTAACTATTCTGTGCTTCAAGCCAAGGTGAAACATTGGAGTCAACTGTTGCTGCAACAGCAACAACATGGTAGGCAATCCTTCAAGCGCTTAAGGCTGTAATTTAGTTGATACCTGGCATTTTGGAAGCAACAAGCCAGAGGTCCTTGGCTCCCTCCCCCCGCCCCCCCAGCTGACTGAGGTGAAATATGGTGTCCTTGTCTTTCAGAGTTTAAGTCAGAAAGACAAGAAAAATCTATTGGGCAGGACACTCTCCTCATCCCAACCCTTTCAGGCCATGTATATGTTACGGGGACTATATACATATAGTGGCAAAGCTACAGTGCTGTAGCTATGCTGGAATAACCTGTTACATAAATGCAGCCTACAGCGAAAGAAGGGGTTTTTCTGTCACTGTACGAACCAGGGATTTGGAGCAATCAAATTCTTGAATTGCTCCGCTCTGGCACCAATAATGACTGCTTCAGCTCCGCTCTGACTCCGCTCCGTGCTCCTACTCAAATTAATTTTTAACTATATAAAAAAGTGCATACTGTAATTTTGAAAAAACATTTTTATTCAGACTTTTAAAACAATTTAAATATCAACAATGATACAAACTAGAAACCTTCATAATTCAGTCTGTAAAAAATTATTGCAGCAATCAAGTCATCTTTCACAACCTGCCACAAATCATTTAAAATTAACTTTAAAGCCGAAAACAGTCGCTCTACACTAGCTTGAGTTGTTGGCATGCTCGAAGCAATTCTACAGGCAGCCTGAATGTGGTGTGGGTAGCTGTGAATGGCCTCAAAAACAGACGACTTTTAGCCTACCAATAGGCTCCATCGCCTCACAATCTTCCCATCCGATGAAGTGAGCTGTAGCTCACGAAAGCTTATGCTCAAATAAATTTGTTAGTCTCTAAGGTGCCACAAGTACTCCTTTTCTTTTTGCGAATACAGACTAATACAGCTGCTACTCTGAAACCAATCTTCCCAAAAGTTTCTCTCGAATAATGCTTCAATACAATTATGAATCACAGAAACTTGCCGGCATCTTTCTTGTTTATCCAATTCCTTTTCGAAGGAGTCATCTTCTGAAGAAATGATGCTTGAATTACCTCCATTTCCCTGTGATGGTTGAAGACGTCTCAGGGATGGACACTCAAACAAGTTCAGAATAGAGACGGAAGTTTGAGAACAGCCTGCTATTTCTGAAGGATGAGAACTTTCTGAAACCATAAATTCAATTGTTGATGACTCTTTGTTGTGTTTCGTTTTCTTCAACCTCTTCCGCCGAGTTCAAATGTAGCAATAGATTTTGTTTTTCGAGTCATCGAGCAATATTAAGAAGCCTTCCTTTGCCTTTCATATTTCCCTTGAGGTAAGAAGAATCAGATACCGTGGGTCAACAAACTCCAGCAAGGAAATGAATATTGTCAAAAAGCTTCTCTTTGCATTTCTGCATGGAGGATAGAATTCCTTCTGCAATTTGTCCACTATTTTCTTGCAAGAATTTTGACAGTTCTGTCCACATCCCCGTTCTCAGAGGTAGAAATGGTTTCATTGCCCTCACTGAAATTTTTGACAGCACACGTCATGTTTGCTGCATTGTCAATGCAGATGCCCAGCACTTGCATTTCACTGATCCCAAATTTTTCTAAAATAGCTTTTACTTGACTTTTCACATACGAAGACTTATGATGCCCTCCAGTGTCGATTATGTCCAAGGTTTTTACCACAGTTTTATCTTTTCCTTCTTCGTAGCACTGAGCATTGATTACAAGGAAATTTCTGTTGCCACATCCATTTTCAGGTAGAACAATTTTTGTTCCAAAGCTTTCTTGACCTCTTCACGAAGGCTCAGCTGTGCCGACAACTAAATGATGAACTGCATTGTGCCCCGTCAAAACGCCAAGCTGCCGACCAATTTCATCTGCAATTTTTTGGAATCCTTTGTTCTTTAGCCTGAAGGTAGTGAGCGGTGTTGAACTCAAGCAAACCATTTCCATCAGCCCTTCACGGAAAGTATTGGCATCCCTGATGACTGTAACCTTTGAGGACTTCAAATATGAGTCAAGTTTTTTTGCTCAATTTTGAGTTTCTTTTCAGATGAAGCTCCGCAAAAAAATCTTTTCTCCAGGAGTTTTCAAAAAGCTAGATGAACGTCGTTTAGCTGCATCAGCTTTCTGTTTTGCCTCATCTTCCTGGTCCCTTTTTTGTAACCAGAGCTGCATAGTTTTCAGGATGGCGGTATGTAAAATGTAACCAAAGGTTGCAACTTTTCACGGCACTTGCTTCACTTGTCTTTGAGCTCACCATTCACTTCCTTTTCCATCTTGCACGTTGCCGATTTCTTCTTTGCTTTTCCCAAATTTGGGCTTTTAAATTCAAAAGTAAAGACATCACTGAGATCCTTTTCCATAAATCAGTTATCAATCGTGGGGGCAGATTTGATTTTTTTGTTAAAGCCATGGCCAAATCTTCTTGTGCTGCTACCGCATCCAAATGTTTCTTGTTATGATTTTCGAAAAGCAATGAACAAAAGCATTCCATTTTTTTATAATGTACCTGCTTGTGATCTCTTAACCACTTCAGGTACTTCAAATTTATTTTGGATTTTCTGGACAAAAATGATCGCTTTTTTTTTTTAAAAACACAAAATTATTATTAAAGTATATTTTAATATTTTAACATGTTTCTTGCAGTTTTAATGAAGTAGTATTTTAATATACATAATATAAATTTTATTTATAAATTGCAAGTTATTTTTTCTTATGAAATTTTGCAGTAAAAATATTGGAAATATTTTCAAAGTTTTTAATTAATATCTCAAAAATGCTTTAATATAGATATATCAATGAAATTTGGTATGTGCCATAGCGTTAGTACATGCTATCGCTGTTCTACAACATTAATTGTTGGGAAGTAACGAGGCTACATGTTACAAGGTTGAAAATAAACTAACAGGAAAGCAGATTCAAATTGCAAGCACAGTCCTTTTAGTAAAGAGAGCAAATTTTCCAAAAATTTTGGATGATGTAGTATGGTAGCACATACTAACGCTAAGAGACAGACATAATTTCATTACCTTATATTAAAGCGTTTTTGAGATATTAATCAGACATTAACTTTTCATCACATCCTTGACAGAGCTCTCTTAGGAAGAATTTTAGGACACGTGTTCACAGAAACGTTTTTTCTTAAAATGACCTAAGGATTCACCCCGAAAGTTGTGTTGGACATATCCAGAGCAATTGGAAAATATCACAAAAATCACTTTTAATTTATGCAAAAATGTTTACTGTATATTTATATGCCTGCTGCACGCAACTTTTTCAGTAAATTTAAAATTACAAACAACGCTACCAAAAGACCATTGAACAGATGACATATAAAATAAGTCCGCCAGAGTGATATGGGAGCATGTACAAATCAACAAATGTACCAGTAACGGGAGCCCATGTGAGAAATGAGCTTAAGTGGTTAATATCTCTTGCGATATCTTAATATATCAATAAACAAAAACATTACTTTTTTTTGCAATACACCTGTTTGTGATATCTTAAATGTTGCGTCCCGCGTCACACTTTTCCGTAATCGCAGCACGCAGCGCGTCTCATTGATCAACCCTTACAAAAGAAGTATCAACACATACTAATCTAACTAATCTACGCTAGTACGTACTTGCCTAACCTTGGTGCAAGGGTGGGAGCAGTCTACCGTGTTGCCAGATGTCTGATAATTATCCGATTCTTTAATAAAACATATCTCCAAAAAACTTTGTAATTTTGTATCTGTACACTGAATCTTGATTTCGGCCCAAGTGAGAATAACTGACATATTATGTAAAGCGGTAAAGTAGATGTTAATATCAATTGTTATACAATCTGAAACTTTTTGGCACCTTTAGGACTTTCTTGCTAAATATAATTCATTTTGGATTGAAAATGGAAAAAAAACCCTCTGAAGCCAACAGCTGATCTTCATTGATTGTAGCCTTGAATTGCTCCTTATCGGAATCAGGAAGCTGCTCAATAACAACTGAGTTTCACATAGTTCTGATAGTTGTATTTTGCCATTAAAGCTTGATAGTTTGCAATGCAGAACTAGACGGTGGCATAGAAAGAGGCCTTCATGCCAAAAAGGTCCAAGTGCTTCTTGTCCCACTCATAAAGGGACGGATTTAAACTGGTGTGGTGGCCCTTTGAATTGACTGCATCCACAATAAT